AACAGGAGCAAGTGGGAAAGGAAAATTAGAAGGAGTCTTCGTCAGCTATTTAGGAAGCCTTTCAAGAAGACTCACCCAACGACTTTTCCATACCATTGGTCGAAACTCGATCACATGGCCACATCTAACTGCAAAGGAAGTAGAAATGCAAACTTTCAACTGGGCACTTTGCCACATCAAATAAAATCTGAGTTTTATTTTAAGAAATAAGAATTATTGTATAACTCCATCTCACCAAAGGCTGTTATTAAAACATTAAAAATACATGTGTTCCTATATAATTATTTTAACGACTTTTGAACAATCCTTTTTTTCTGGGATTCATTGTACTGCCATTTCCATTATTAACATAAAATGTAATAGTCAACTCCTTCATTGGCACATCCCTAAAGAAAGGTCACCATACTGATCTAGCCTATTCCTAAAAAACAGAATAGATACATTGAAACTTTATTATAAAGTCTTGTTATAAAGAGCACTTAGTAAAAGGTTACGAATCCATTTTTAATCCCAACTGTTAGCCTATGGTTTTCAGGCAGCTCCAAAGAGTAGTTTAGGATGGAGGTAAAGGGGCTTTAACTCTCCCATAATCTCACTGAGCATCCCCTCCCCTCCTCCCACCTGCCAATTATTTTCTATGAATGGTTTTCTCAAATATATTTTTAAAAACATACCAGAGGGTCCAGCATGGGTGGCGTGAGCCTATAGTTTCAGCTACTCAGGAGGCTGAAGCAGTAGGATTGCATGAGCCTAGGAGTTTGAGGTTGCAAGGAGCTATGATGACACCACTGCACTCTACGCAGGGCGACAGAGTGAGACCCTGTCTCTAAAACAAACAAAAAAACAAAACCCTGCTATGCAAGCTCCACTTCGCAGTCCCCTTGCCCATTTTTCCAACCAGATTACACACTCCAGCACTGTCTTTTTTAATATGAAAAGGCTGGAGTTGCCTCTATGGTGACTATAAAAATACTTAAAGGCCATAGAAGATTGTACCCCTTTGTAGACTCAGTACAGAGAGTATTTTCTGTATATGCTATTTAAGTGTGAGAGGAGGTTTTTAGGTGTTGATTAGCATCACTAGCAAAGAGAGAGAAACAGAGAAAGAGAAAGTATTATGCGTTCAAAGTGATTTGCAAATATTCCCATTAGCCATTTAAACCATCCTACCCCCACATGAGATATTAGAGATAATGAGGAAGAGATTCAAGATGCTGTTGCTAAGGCACTTCTTCAACATAGGGTGAAAATCTCACTATAAATAATACATTAAAAGCTGGTTGCTTTGTTTGTGCCTTCCTGCACTTTGATTCCAATATGCATCCTTACCATTATCAACAACTCTTTTGAACCAAAGTGTTTCCTGTTTCTTTCATTAGAAAGTACGTATCATTTATTAAGATTACTTCAGTCCAGATTTCACTTGGGAGAGTAATAAAGAAATATCATTTGCTTGAACTAATCTTTAACCCAGACTCTTTGTTCTGTTTTCTCAGTGACTCATTCCAGCACCACGGAGCCTGACTAGAATGAAAGAATCTTCTGCTATATATTCCATTTTGTTGAAAGTTTTAGCAATCTTGCCAGGTGTTTATTGTAGGTTGTTGGGGGTTACAATTACATGCATACAATAAAAGTTAGTTTCAGTCAAAGTATGTTGCGTAATACTTGATTCCCATTTTTATAACCCAAAGATTTATTTTTCTTATTTGATGCCTTACAAATCTAAGGATATATTAATAGTATTTAAAACACAGCAGTTAAAGTGATATTGTGGTTTTATGAACCTATGGAAGAAATCAGCTTTGGATCATTGTTTTTGATTGGAAATTTAGTCTAACTTTATTTACTCTGTTTTAGTGACTTATTATGAAACATAGTGTATTATAATGTATTACTTTAGACTTAATTCTAACAGATAAAAAGCCTAACACATGTCAAACATCTAACATGTCAGACCTTCATAAGGTCATATCTCACTTGATTTCTATGACAACCATGAGACACGTGTATTGGTATATGACAAAAGAGAAAGTGGAAGCCCAGGGAGGTTAAATAATTTTGTTCATGGTCATACAACTTTTATGTGAATTTTTATCCTATAGCAGGGTTTCTTCTCTAGGAAAACCTAAAGCAAATAGTGTAGCTTTTTAACGTTATCTCACAAAATAAAGAAGAAGTGATTCTCTTCTGTCAAAAGGTTCCAATTCAGTGGAGAGATAAGATGAATGCATGACACCTTATAGTTTTATGTGCACATGCACTATACGCAAATATGTATGCTGCTAACATTAAGGCTGTGTACATCATATTCTTTTCTATCGTATAAAATCTTCATGGAGGATGTGATTTTTACATATCATTATTTGACAATTGACCAGACAGAAGAACTAGGTCAGAAGTCCTAAACTACCAGTCCATAGGTCAAATCTGACCTATAGATGTCGTCTTTTTTTTGTTTGTTTTCCCAAGCAATTGAAATCGATATTTCCCATAAAGCTGCAATTTCTGACATGACTTGAAAATCAGATTGATTACTCTGGGCTTGAATTCCCACAAAAGCATTAGTCAACTGGAGTTGAGTAGTAGAAACTCCTTTTAGGTGGAGTCTGTGCTTTATCTGGGTACCACAATCTTCCTTTGTTAGCTTTATTCATTTATGTTATTTAATTGCCCCCTTCATGCATTTGTGTTTGTTTCTGCTAACTTGGGTTCTAAACATCAGCTCTACTAATTAGCAAAAAATAGGAATTATAAGCCTGTTTTCCAAGCCCAAGATCCATCTCCCCTCCTGTGGTAATTGCCTTTCATTCATTGGTCAGTATATACTGGGTAAACCAGGCAGCTTGGCCAAGCATCATTTGATACATGAGCCAAGCAGGGTTATTCACATGTCTTCTCCTAGGAATTTTGACCTTGGACTTAGAAAAGCTATTGTAACCCCTGCATACAGCTAGAACTGTGACTCTCAATTTGGGAAATGTAGAGTAGTCATATTCTGCCATTTTGACTGCATAAGCAGAAAGATCCCATTTGGAGAGAGAGAGAGAGAGAGAGAGAGAGGGAGAGAAGAGAAGAAAAGAAAAGAAAACAGAAGAGAAGAGAAGAGAAGAAGAAAAGAAAAAAGAAATGAAAAGATCAGATAAAATAAAGCCAGGCTATCAGGACCTATGAGATTCTCATGTATCCTTATAATAAACTTCCTTATTTACATACATTGTCTTAAAATAGTTTCTGTCTTTTACAAACACTTGTCTTAGCCATGACACTTGCTGACTTCCCCTCTCTATGCCTCAATTTCCAAATCTCTTACAGTTAAAAAATAAAACCTGATAATATTTCATTTAGCCTGTCAGGATTATGTTGGTACTCAAATAAGTCTCTATATAGTCTTTGAAAACTGTAAACCGTTATACAAATCTAAGGTATCATTATTATGACAGTTCTGGCAAATGTTTAATAACTGGAGACACAATAGATGAAGAAAAGTGGGAAAACATTTATGGCTAGAACAGAGCAATGTACCCAAGACCCTTGCAGCTCTTAAGTCAAACTACTGTACTAACAAAAAATAAGCACTTTCAGGTGGATGCCAGGGCAGTCCCAACCTAAATGAACCTTCCTCTTTAGGACTGAGCATGCACTGGTCCTTACTAAGCATGAATATGGGAGAGTTTTTTTTTTTTTAGTACTTTTGAACAATGCTGACTTCCTTCAGAATTTCCCCAAGTCACCAGGACATGAATCAGTCAAAAAATTGCAGGTGAACTCTGCAATTTTCTCTCTGCTCAATGATGCAGTCAAAAACTGGTAAATCAGGGTGAACCATTGTGTCAGGAAGAATTTGGTTAAAATGGAACTCCTCCCTACATTTCTTAAATCCAAACATGTCATAAAACTAAGGCTAAATTTCACCTATTCCTGAATCTGGGGATCTGTTTGAGAAACAGCTTAGAGAACAGGGAACAGAGCACAGCAACCTTGTTTGCTGTGATCTCTGTAATAAAAACAATTGCTGGCCCTGCTAGTTAATACCCAATTAAAAATACATTGTACAGTACTTGAAGAGTGATTTTGTTAACATGCGCTTGTATTATTGGCATGAACAAAGTATTTGTTCATTAGCAGATGGTAATTTTGTATAATTGTCAGTTCAAGGTCCTAAAAACAAGAACTAGCTTTCTAACTAGAAGTGGTAGAAAAGCAGTACAAAAACAACTTATAACGTTACCTTTCAGAAGGGAAATACCTGTTCACAAAAGCAGAAATGGAAAATAATTTTTAATAATGCCTGCTGTTATCTGACAAATTTATCTGAGAGAATTTTGAACAGTTACTGGATTAAAAAATAAACGGCCAACCTAAAGGAAGAGCAGTATTAGTTTGCAATGGTACAATTGACCACAGAGGAATACTCAAGTCAGCTAATCTTATCACTCTCGGTGGCTGTCTCGTTTTGGAATGAAGAGAAAGGAACACTGGGTCTCTAAATGTGCCCAACTGGGAAGAAAAAAGCTAACAGGAGATTAACTCAATTTAAAATTGTGGGAAAAACTGACGAAGACCGTCTATAGTATATTAATTCTCATTTTAAAAAATGGGCGATAGGCCCTTTCTTTAAAACAAATTGTGTGGATTCCAGGAGGAGTAAACAAAGAAGGGTATTGTGCATAGCTTTTTTAAAGCTGAAAAATACATAGTCAGTAAAATGGTCATTTCCGTTTTTGAGCATCCCTTTGCTGAGCCAGCGAATGGCCAAGTCGGCGGGGTCGCTGGAGGGCAGACTTCGGAGCGCAAAGCTCTCCCCCCAGCTCGTTAGCACATTCCCCCTGGTGGAGCGGGAGCGGCGGCGGCGAGTGCAGAGGCCGTGACCCCCGGCGGAGAGCTGGGCTCGGGCCGGGGGCCGGACCTACAGCCGGTGGCCCGGAGGGGCGGTGAGGTGGTGGGGCGGCGAGGGCGCCCTGGGACGCCGCGGGCCTCGCGGGGCGGGGCGGGGCGGCGGCGGCGGCGGGTCGCGGGCGGATGACGCGCGAGGCCGGCGGAGGAGCCGCCACTTCCTGGAGCCGCCGGCCGGGGCCGCTCGCTGCACTCAGCGCTGGAGCCGGGAGCCCGCGGCCGCCGCCATGTCCCACCAGACCGGCATCCAAGGTAACGGCGCCCGGCGCGGCCCGCGGGGAAGAGGCTCCCGGGAGGCCCCAGGCGAGCCGAGCGGGCTGCGGGGCGGGTAGGGCCAGAGTCGGGCCGGGAGTGTAGGGAGTCGGTCCCGCGGGGCCTGGGAGCCTCGGCGTCTCTCCGCGCTCCGGTTTGCCGCGCGCTCCCGGCCCGCGCCGCCTCCAGCTGGGCCTGGCCTCCGCCACGTTGCAGACGGACCCGAAGTTCGGAGGAGCGAAGGAAATTGGTTTCCGAGGCGGCCTAGGTGAAGGGGGCGTGCCCTCCAGAGCCCCCCACGTTAGGCCAACTTTCCCCTTTTTTATCAGGAGGGGAAGAGCTGGAACAGCGGAGGCGACTGGGGCTCCCTTCGCTGTGGAGAGCCGGGCGAGTTTTCCTTTTCACCGTCCAAAGAAGTATTACAGGACTCTGGTTATAAAGCGAAACATGCCAGAATCCTTCTCACACCAGTAGCGGTGCTTCCCAAACTCTTCCACATTTTCTCCCCAAATGGGAATATGATTTATGTTCTGAGAAATCCTTAGTGTGGGGTGTGTTTTGGTCTTGTATCTAGGTACTCTCCAGGAGAACTGAAAAGTCTGATCTGTGTGGTTAAATTTAGTCATCCCGTGCAGACAGTTGAAAGGGCAATTTTATCTGACCTCCATTATTTCCTGGTTTGAAAATGGACAGCCTGGAAGCGCTCACCTCATCAGAGTCAAATAATATATCCCCGGGTTACTCGTGATCACTTAATGAATTCCAATATAAACCCAAGCCCTTCCTGTTAATAGACAACGACTCTTTTCCGCAAATGCACACTTAATTTTGTGTCCTGTTCTTAAGGGTCTTTTACAACACCCCCCACTTACTCCTGCACACGCACACAAGCAAAATATTCTCAAATCTAAAAGCATTGTTTTATTTGCCCGCATTAATTTTGACATTTAAGTATGTAATTATTGACTTTCATGCTTGAGCCTTACAGCAAGCACTACTTATTAGTGTTTCTTGCTGTTAGTAGACAACACAAGAACGAAATGGAAGCTTTAATAGGAAGACAAGGGTCAGGTTATTAAATATATATTTGCTCAATGAGTTTACTTTAACTTTTTGAGAAATGCAGCTTACAAAAATATAACCAGAAGTAAAAGATTGAATGCATTTTATTGGCTTTTTTATTTTAATCAGGTTGGGATAACTGATAGTTACTGTTGTTTTTAGTGGGAAAATACAGAAAATGAATTGGTGAAGGAGGTGTCTTTATCATAATCTTGAAAGTAAACTAGAAGACAATGAAAGCAAGTTTTCAACATTTTTCAAACAAGCAATAAAGGTGTTTTTCAGAATTGTATTTGCCCATTATTGAGTTTGAGTAACTTCAGGGTATTCACTCCAGTGTTATTTTTGCTACAGAATTATCTAGCTAAAACAGATTAAAATTAATGTTAACATACTTTTAAAATATATTAATATTTCTTAACTGTATACAATGTCTGCTATCTTATGGCTTTAAGTTTTATAATACTGATAATAAGAGAATGCTAAATACTTCAAATTTTTTTGTGTGTATTGTAATTCATTTTTTCCCATATAGGTAGCAAAAGAAAGTATTCATACATAAGTATAAAAAAAATAGGTTTGCTTTTCTTTATCTTTTTCCACAGCAAGTGAAGATGTTAAAGATATCTTTGCCAGAGCCAGAAATGGAAAGTACAGACTTCTGAAAATATCTATTGAAAATGGTTAGTTAAACATTTAAAAATATTGTTTGTCCCTGGATTATTGGGTATTATATTTTTAAACTAAGTAATGTTAGTGATTTGAACTTTTTGTTAATGTGCAGTATGCAGCTTACCTTAAGTAAGGTAACTTGGATCCCTCACATTTTGTGCAGGTCCCTATGGTCCCTGTTTTCCTTCTGAATTCTCTAGCTATCAGGGAAACAGAAAGATGTTTTTTAATGTGATGTCTTCCTCTTTTACTTCTTGTGTCTCAGTTTCTGCACCACAATCTGTTTCTAATGTCAGTGCTTCCATCTCTGGAATGGAAATAAATTAACAGGTGATTATCCAAAAAAATAGTTACTTGTGAATTATTCAGTAAAGTTTGTTTTAAAGTAGAAACAAAGGATTTCAAACTCTTCCATTTTCTCCACCTGATTGCACCTTATGCTACAGGAATGATTATTACCCTTTCTTGTTGTTTTGGGAAAATTCTGGGAATGTAACAAACTACCAATTGATTATTTAAAAATAAGCAGGGAAACAGGTTGGGTGGGGGAATCTTTTAAATAAGGCAGATTTAAATTTGAGTAATTACTGTTCAAACTACCTGATTACAAATGAATGTGTTAAAATATTCAATTGGCTTAATTCCTTAAATACCTTGAAATATTTTGCTTTGGAAAAATAACTTGTTCTTTCATAAACTGGAAGTAAATCTAATTTGTTTTCCATTTTCTGCTTATATATTAAAAATACCAGAATAGTTTATAAAATATGCTTTTGTTCTATATATATTACAAATTCAACAGGAATAAATGTATACTATAAACCAGCATATTTTAGAAATAATGAGTTAAAATTTTAAATGCCATCACTTCCTGAGTGACTAGTTAAGTAACTAAAATGGAAAAGTTAATCTAACTAGCATCTTTACAGAAATAAAATGGTATTATTTCCTAAATCATTATTTTCTGGTTTTATTTTTTGTTTTGAGAAAATTTTTTAACAAAGGAAATCCCAAAGAATAAAATAGTATCATAAATACCTATGTTTCCCCTTAAATTAGTAACTGCTAACATTTTATCATATTTACTTCAAGCATTTTTAAAAATGTGATACTGTTCTGATATAAGAGTATCCCCTTTAAACAATTTTACTTTCTGACCTCTTTCCCCTGAAGCGTCTACAATTAGGAGTTTTTGTATTTGTGCAATCTCTTTTTTACATGTATCCCTAAATAGCAGATAATGCTGTTTGGGTTTTTAAGTTCCCATAAACTGCATGATACCATCTTATTCTGCATCTTTCCTTTTTCTGTAAATGTTATTTTTGTAATGAGTTTTGATAGGTTAATTCTTTTAAAATTTGAATAGAATGTTATCAAATGACTATGCCACATATTTTTTGTCCATTCTCTTACTGATGAACGTTGAGGTTATTTCCAGTTTTCACTGTTACTGTATAGTGCTGCAGTGAACACCTTTGTACTTCTGTGCAAGAGATTCTCTATGCAGAGAACATTCAAAATTTTACCATATTTTGCCAAATAGTGCTTCAAAGTGGCTGAACCAATTTATGCTTCTAGGCAGATTTTTAATCTGTAGCATCAGCCAAACAGGAGTTAAACCTTATTTTATTTAATATTTCTTACTCTAAAATTCAGTGTTAATTGGAGACATTATTCTAAGTGGTAGTACAGTTATTTAAGTGTATTTTATTGATAATTTACAGCATAGGCATTTTGGAAAATAGAAATATAATCACCCATTATTTGACTATTCAACTGAACTATTATGATCATTTTATACATTTTTGTGGTGGGTATGTATAAAAAATTTTAACCATGCTATCCATAAAATCTTCCTGTTTTTAGTAATACTTTATATCATAATTATTTTCTGTGCCACTTTTTTCCTTTTAACTTTTTGATGTGCATAATACTATCGTAATTGGGAAATGACTTTAGGTTAATTTATTTTTGTAGTCTTCATGGAACTACCACTTGGTCTTTCAAATCATTTACCTGTCTTTTTAAAAATTATTTTTTATAGAGCAACTTGTGATTGGATCATGTCGTCAGCCTTCAGATTCCTGGGATAAGGATTATGATTCTTTTGTTTTACCTCTGTTGGAGGACAAACAGCCATGCTATATATTATTCAGGTTAGATTCTCAGAATGCCCAGGGTTATGAATGGATATTCATTGCGTGGTCTCCAGATCATTCTCATGTAAGTAATTTTTTAGCAGTTTAACATTAAATACTAGAAAGAATTTTTAAAAAGCTATTTCTAGGCTGATTGGAGTTTAAAAGGCAGTAGTCATTTCCCATAGAAGGGAGTGATCATAGGGGAAAAAAATCTTTGAATTAATAATGTGGAATCAAACAAGCGCTTAGATTCAGAAGCTTTGTCCTTGAAATAAAAATAATTATCAATTTAAAAATTAAAAATCTGTGGCAATTATAAATGACTCCATGGGCCTCTGAAGAGTGAAGCTAACTGCTTGGCCTTGAGAATAATAATTTTAATAATTCTGGGAACTAATTGAACATTATATTAAATTTTGTTAATATTCACCATATATTATTAATCACTACCATTCAGGTGGTAGGCATGCAAATAAATATTTCTCTTAGCAAAGTTGGTAGTGGACAGACTGAATAGAACAAAAGACAAAACTGATATATGACTATGCCAAATTTGTCTCATATTTCTTGTAAAAAATTAATAATTCTTAAAAGTTATCTACATAATCATTCTGAAAAGATTATCCCATCCTCTTTAATTCATAAATCCTGTCTGAATACTGGATTTGACTGTGCAAGATTATGAAATTATTTCTGTTGGTAGTTATCTTTAGTTGCATTCCATGGATACTAGTAAAATTTTAATAATAGTATAGTATATTTCTTGTCATCCTGTGTCCCTCACAGTATGGTATATCACATAGGGAAGCCATGAGTATTTGATTCTTAACAACTTAATTAGTAATATCTGATCTACCTTTGAGTAAAATGTTGCTATCAAGGTTACTTCGTTTCAATTTTTTCCTCCTGTTTTAAAGTAGTTGTTAATCCTTGAACTCATTTTATACTTTGAGGAATCTTTAAAAATTTATATATTCTCAACTTTTAAAAAAATGTGACTTAACATTGTAAATTGAAATCTACCTTAATAGCTATTGATACTTTTAGATGTTCGTGTTAGGATGATTATTTGTACACACATAGTTTAAGGTATTATAGTCAGTGGGCTTCAGCTTTATCACAGTTTCTTTCATTTTTAATGTGCTTGAAGATTTTAATACATTCAGAATGTGCTTTGTTTTGTAATAGTATGTTTTCATCTGTAAACTTCTAAGTAAACTTTCACAACTGAATAGGTTCGTCAAAAAATGTTGTATGCAGCAACAAGAGCAACTCTGAAAAAGGAGTTTGGAGGTGGCCACATTAAAGATGAAGTATTTGGAACAGTAAAGGTATAAAACTTATATTTTTATGTGGATTCTATATGTTGTAATTAAAATGATTAAAGAACTCCTAGGTAATAGGTAACTGATATGAATTCAGATGGATGAATGTGTAAACATAAGAATAAGAGAAAAAATATTGTTATATTTTATATGATATACAAGTTAACTCTAATGGATCTATAACTTTGAATTCATTCATTTGTGTCTATTTGACATTGAGAATCAGTGGTATTAAAACATTATACATATTCTTTAAAAATATTTGTATGGTGAATACATGTATCTATACATATACACATAGATATACATACTGACATGTATGTATCTGTATATGATATTTTATATCTAAATAAAACTTAGCATAGCATAATGCCTTAAAATAGTCAACTCAAAAAGTCAAGTAGATGGATTAATACAACTTGCTACTGCTTTTAATTTCATTTAATGACAAAAAATCAGGTTAGTTTTTACCACCTTGACTCATCCTTTGACCATAATTTCCCTTAATGACTATAAAAATATCTGTAGCTGGTCTTTAAATATGGATCCTGCCTTTCCAGGAAAAAAGATATTTAGATAATCGCTTTAGCTTTTCTCAAAGCTCTCATCTATTGCTCATTTTATCAGGATATAAAGGTGATTTTTTTCTTTAAGTAACCACAAAGCAGGAAAAATGAAGGTGATATGTTTTATAAAAACATGTTAGTTGGAAGGATGCCCTAAAATTTGCTTTGTAAAGTAGTTACAATAAAGCCATGATTAGTATTAAATGGGGATAAGTAAGTCAGATTTTATAAAACTCTTAAAAAAACTTAAACTATTTGATCAGTTATTCATTATATTGTTAAATTTCTTCCTTTCTTCTCTATTTTTTCTTCCTTCAATCAAAAATC